GATATGCAGGTTTCATAACCTCTGATCCCCTTTCAAAATTTCATGTTTTTGAATTGATGACCATACGCCGCTTTTCATGGAATGGCACTTACATGTCACATTGAAGGCACCGTGATAACCGCCATATGAATACATCAGCGGATGATTCAAAATTCCAAATTTTACCAGTTCATGGTGAATGTCGAATACAGCTTAAGTCGGTGCTAGGGTGCGTGGACGGTAACTTGCACATTCCAGTACCTCTATGAACAGGCTCAATCATACCAACATTTTCAATTTTGTCGTTTTGTACGTTGAGTCTGTAAATGGGGGATAATGAAAAAGTGCAAAATCCCTCTCTAACGTTGAAAGAAAACAAATAAATTTTACTTTAGCAAATGAGGAAATGTACAATGCCCCCTTTCTATCGAAGATTTAGTTGATTTTATCAACGAAAAATATACAGCAGGTCCAGAATATATTTACTATGAATTGAATGACTTGGGTTGCATTCATTGAACGCCGCCTTTCCTTGTTGATCTTGTTTATCATAATTTCTTAAAATATTAATAACATTTCGGTATCCGCTAATATTCCTAATATTTGGAAAGTCTTGTTATTCAAAATCTTCAGCACTGACTCTGCAAATAACCGTCCAATTTCACTTACACGCTGCTTATTCAAAACGAAAATGAAAAAAAAAAAAAATAACTGCTTGGTTTTGTATTTTGAATTTTGACCTTCAGACAGGATTCCGTTAACAACGTAGTACAAACAATAATCTTGTTCACCTCGATTTTTTTATTACAGATACTTTTATAAATAAACAGCATTAGGTTTTTATTTTCATCGATCTTGAAAAAAAGCTTACGATACAATACGCTCCCTTCGCAGCTTACTGAATACACTCCCGTTACTTAAGTGAGCGATAGTGGAACATTCGACCGATGCGCAGGAGAGTAACGAAAAGAATTATGGTATTCTTAAAGATCTAAAGGATGGAGGATTAAATGGTACACTTAAAATCTTTATTCCTGGCATTCTTGTCAATAGAAACATTTTTAATTTCATTAAAGGTTAAATGATAACCGCTGTATGAACACATCTGCCGATGTTTTTCAATTCAAAATTTCACTATACATATGTAAACCTTTTCGTCTCTTTGATAAAATAATGAAAATGATGAAATAAACGCAAGTTTTTAGAATCATTTAAAGTGAATGAACTTTTGTGTTCTGAGAGGGTTTCTATTTACCTTTGGGTCATCCGAAAATGAACAGAAAATCAACAAACATGGCTCAAAGTAGCAGTCCGAATTTAACGGTATATTTTCGCATTATATAACGGGTGTTTTTCAGAATTTTTTTTGTTGATACTTCTTGATATATAAACGGCAGACCTAATGTACCGCGAAACTGAATTAGTAAAAATTGAGTAGATAGGCAAAATCCTACATTTGCCGTTTTTAATGACGTGACGTAGCGCTTACACAACTAATTACAGTCTCCATTTGCATTTTGAATTCTTCTGGTAAAGATACATGTATTATACGTAATATGTATTATATGCTTTGCTCCAATGTTTTGGCGTTTGTCCACCCTTTATTCGTCGGTGAAGTTGTAAATTAAATTTCATACACATTTCATATGCAATTACTCACTCGGCTAACTCATTTATTTAAAAATAATATAAATAATTTACACAAACTCACTTCATCCGGTAAGTGTTTAGAATATAGGGAGGTATATACATAGCTCGAGGGGTTAAATGCTATAAAGAGACTTGTCGCACGTATATATTCTGAAAAATCAGTTACTATCTTATACGAAATATATTGGCATATGGTGAATTATAGTGCTACGAGTCATGAAATCACAACGCATCTTCTGACTTAAATAATAGTTATTGCTCATATGTGTTACATGGCAGGTTGCTATATCTCTGGTGTGATTATTTCATATAGTTTGAATAAGATAACGATCTAACGGAGTTTCGCTTATCGCTGAGATCTCTCTTACTTCAATTTATTAAATCGCGTGCGCACATAAGGGGTCTACACTACTATTTATTTGAAACAGCAACTTCGGATTTGATCCGCATTAAAGATATTAGAATAGTGTCTAACTATCTATTTTTTGCTTAATCTTTTATATTAAGAAGTTCGAACATATTATTTGTTTGCACACACATCCCAGCTCACGAATCACACGCCAGGGGATAGGGGTGGTTTCAATTACTTAATCTGCAGGGTTTTAAGCACAATTTTTGAGTTTTCAACATATCCATTTAGTTTATTTTTTTTGGATACTGTATATCATAATGCCTTGTCAGTCTATAAACACACATATAATATAATTGTTTGAGTTTACCTTTTTTCTTAGATAATAATATTATCTTATATAAACATGGTGTCGCATTTAAATTATATTACTTTGTCAAGTTTTTCATAAGGTTCTTTATAGTATAGGTATGATATAATAAAGGTTAGGTGTGTGTGTCATTTCACATTTAATTGATCTTCTGCTGGAGTGGAGAGTCTTGAGCTATTGCACCACGATATGTATCACTGTTAATCTACTATAGGTTAAGGTTTTAAATAGATTATGACGATTTAACTTTTGTTTGAGTCTTGTATTACGTGATGTCGCTAAGACAGAAGCTGCTTGTTTTGTGAGAGCGCGATGCGAGTTCGAATATCATCGAGATGTCATACCGTAGATGTGACCTGGACACTGGGCTGAATTTAGATAATTAATTTTTTGCCAATTTTCACAAACATGTCATAACTTATAGGGTCGGTACACATTTGATGAGATTTTCCTATTCATGGATTATTCGATGTGAGAAACTATATAATGTCGACGTGGGTGGTTTTATCTCATTTCTAAGAGCTTGAAAAGTACCGCACGCGCTGATATTTTGGCTGATATATATAGATTAGCGCAGACAGGAGTGGCACAATACAGGGAGAGTATTGCACAAATGATATATATACGATATTGCAACTTGGGCTATTGTACAGGCGTATAGAGATTGGTTACTCAGTTTATAGTAAAGTTTGCTCCAATTAGTATAAATACTGTGCTTTATATTATACTGATTTGATATTTACATCGAAATTTGATTTTCTTACAAATTGAGTAAAAATCAACGCTGGATAATTTTCCGGAGCTATTTTTAATGTATTAACAAATTAATTATTAGGCGCAAGAGCTTTCCAAATACTCGAGCACCCATGACATTATTGAAGAGTTCCTTTTCGTTGTCTTGAAAGTGTTGCTACAATTATATCCTCGTCATTAAAATAGATAGCAAAAAAACTGTGACAGCTGGTCCTTTTGCGAAGATATTAGAGTGTCCATTCGTAGATAGCAGAGCTGCATTACTGGTATTGGTACTGGTACTGCAGTACGTACTGCAGCGATTTTGCAAGTACTGGTACTGATACTGAATACCTCTTACAAAATGTTGCTACTACTGGTACTTGTACTGCATTTACTGTCTTAAAAAGTGGTACTGCTGCTGCATTACTAGGCATTACTTTTGGTTTTGATAAAAAATGTCATCATTTTTCTCATAATGTAAAGCTGTAAATTCCATGTATTATTTTATTTTTGTGAAAAGTCGTTATCAAATCTATAGATAATTTGCTGCAATATTCCTTTAAATATTAACACGGTATTCATCATAAAAAGAACCACCAAAGAGTAACACTTGAAGTAAAAATTAAATTGAGATAAAAAGACTTAATAACTCTTTACTTTAAAATATCTTTATTACAATCTTCTATAACTTTGTATTTACTAGTAAAAAAGACCAAATGATAAACACTTATCAATTGTCTCTCTTCTAAATAATCATATTCCAAGTGATATAATTTACACCATAAAAAGTTGTTATTTATTTTGTATAAATTGAACAGAGGTGTGAAGGTGTGAAAGGCAACAAAAAACGTTTGTGTTTTTAATGAAAGATGATTTCATTGTATTACAGTTGACTGGTTACTAAACAATAAGATATGACGTGAATGTATGATGTAAATTCTTTTTTGTTCAACCATTAAAGTTGTAAAAAATGTAATATTAACTTTAAAGTAAATGATTTTATTCCTTTGTTGAATAATATTTGCAATTTTGTATGACACTATGTATTTATTCAAACTTTGATGAATATATAAAAGTAATGGTACTGATAATTACTTCCCCCAAAAAAGTACTGGTACTGAAGTACCAAGCTAAAATCTAATACTGGTACTGGTAATGGTACTGCATAACTTGGCAAGTACTGATACTGGTACTTAAGTACTACACCCTTAGTACTGATGCAGCTCTGGTAGATAGTAAAACATGTGTTTAAAAACGATACTGTGCACCTAATTATAGAAATAAACCCTTTATCTACGTAGAAAAAGGCTTCATCTTCAATATGCAACTAGAGGATCATCGGAGAGTAAAAATCCTCTAGAAATTTAGTTCTTAACCAAAAAATTGCGACTTTTTCAACAAAGCATAGGAAATAAAACCATTCGGCCTTCGTGTAAAGGATTGTTTAGAAAAAAACTTTAGATGTTCTGCCGTGGACTTTCAATTATCCAGAAGTTGATATTAGTCTTTCAAGTTAAATAAAGCACCCAATCCTTCTTTAAGAAACATTTAAGTAGACTTATATCATCTAAATGGAAATCAAAGTCATGGTGGTACATTGTCATAATTAACTTGTTTCAAGGCTTATATACCTTAATGACGTTCCTTTAATTTTATTTCACAGTATTACTTTTATTTCTTACAAAATGTTTCTATATTGTGGCATGCAGCTTAGAAAGTGGAAGGCAACGGAGATTACATTTTTTTTGATTTTCTGATATGGCTTTCAGTATAATTAGTATACATGCAAATATCATCGGATGAAAAATAAAATGAAAACCATGATCTCTAATCTTAATATATTATATATACAATGTAGTTCATTTGAAGCTTAAATGCTTGTATTGTTTTTTAAATATAATATTAATACTATTGACAAAAGATTGTTACACGTTTTTAATACTGTTTAGAAATAATAAACAAGAGAATACATATGATATAATTATATTTTATATCTTTCATTTTGTTGCATAAAAGTATGAATTTCAAAGACAAACACTAAAGAAATGCATAAAATAATAAACACTTCATTTCTGTATGACCAAATAGCTAGTAACTGAGATTAAAATATCTGTTTGACAAAGAAATTTTATTCCAACTAGAACTAATGAATTGACGATCACTTATATGCAAGCTTTTTGTCAGATGATATATACAGATACTGTGAAATGTAAAGCGGATCAGTTTTTTATGTTGATGCCTTTATTGTCTTTGTACGGATTATAAGACATAACGATCTGGAGAAAGAGTGATCCTTCCGATGTACTAATCACAACAAAATTATATAAAACTTGCAGACAAGAGCAACAATGGCTGTATGAAACAATTTAAGTCATATTCTCAAATGGCGGCACTTCCACAGCTTTGATTTCTTTCATGATTTCCTCCCGTTGATTTAACATGTGACATTTTTTTAGCAAATGCATTTTATTGTTTGGTTTAAATTGTTTGCTTATATTGAAATATAATCGCAATAAGAGGGTGTTACAAAAACTATAAAAAGTCAATTTTCCTATTTGGACCGAATAAGATTCCATTAAAACTATGATTACTTTGGTCAATGGTTACTGCAAATATAAACAATTTGCTTGTCGTTTTACTTTTTCTTGGCAACAAAAGCTTTGATTTTGGAATACGCATTTTTATTCATGTCACACTCGTACAATTTATCATCTTCGTTATAAGCCATGTCGATAAATACTATTTTCTCGTAAGCAGGTTTCAGTGGTACTTTATTGCTCGATGCTATCTCTGGTAAAGACATTTCTGTCCCAAAATTAATGATGATAACGATGAAAGGTTCATCCCCTGAAATAAATTAACAAACAATATTTTAAAATTCGTTTGCAAATACGATGATGCAGATAAATATAAACCTGCATCAACAAAACTTAAAAAATGTTTATAGGTCATATTACTTTTTCGAAGTACTGAAAATCGTCAAATATCAATGCAACGGATATTGATTATTGCTAGAGATAGAAAAGATAAAATAATCACATAAATTAATCACGGTTTACGTAATCTTAATTATAGTAACAGCTTTTGAAAAGTACTTTCAATTGTCTCAGAAGATAGAGTTCTGGTCAGGATGCACATTTTATAGACAATTGTTATTCACATACTCTGATTACTTCCAATGGACAATGCATTTGCATATGTTATCTGCTGTTTGATTTCCAAACATAATATTTAGAACTGCGACGTGAGCATCCAAAAGGTAAATACGTGGCTTTGACCGTATTCAGAATCGTTTTATATGCTCGCTTCATTTTGGTTGTGTTTTAGCACACCTGGCCACGAAGTGGTCAAGGTGAGATATAGTGATGGGCGTCCGTCGTCGTGCGTTGTGCGTCGTTCGTCGTCAACAATTGGTATGTTAACACTCTAGCAGTCACAGTTTTGATTGGATTATCATCAAACTTTGTCAGAATGTTTGTCTCAATTAATTACAGGTCAAGACCGAAGATGGGTCATCTCTGGTAAAAAACAAAGTCACAGGAGCTAAAAATAAAAAAGCTTGTTAACATTCTAGTGGCTGCAGTTTTGATCCAAATTTCTTGAAAATCGGTCAGGAAGGTTGTTTTGAAAATTTCTAGGTCAAGTTTCAATATGGGTAATCTCCGGTCAAAAAATAGGTATCAGGGGCTGAAAATAGAAAAATCATGTTAACACTCTAGTGGCTGCAGTTTTGATCAAAATATTCAGAAATTTTTTCAGGAAAGTGGTTTGATGATTTCTAGGTCAAGTTCGAAGATGGGTCATCTCCGGCCAAAAACTATGTCACAGGAGCTAGAACTAGAAAAAGCTTGTTAAGACTCTAGTGGCTGCCGTTTTGATCCAAATATTCTTGAAATTTGTCGGGAAAGTTGTTTTGATGATTTCTAGGTCAAGTTCGAAGATGGGTCATCTCCGGTCAAAAACTATGTCACAGGAGCTAAAAATAGAAAAATCTTGTTAACACTCTATATAGTGGCTGCAGTTATGATTCAAATTTCCTGGAAATCGGTTAGGATGGTTGTTTTGATGATTTCTAGGTAAAGTTCGAAGATGGGTCATCTCCGGTCAAAAACTAGTTCACAGGAGCTAAAAATAAAAAAGCTTGTTAACACTAATGGCTGCAGTTTTGATCCAAATTTATTGGAAATTGGTCAAGAAAGTTATTTTGATGATTTCTAGGTCAAGTTTGAAGATGGGTAATTTCCGATCAAAAACTAGTCACAGGAGCTAAAAATAGAAAAATCTTGTTAACACTCCAGTGGCTGCAGTTTTGATCTAAATCTTTTGGAAATTTGTCAGGAAGGTAGTTTGATGATTTCTAGGTCAAGTTCAATTATGGGTTGCCTCCGGTCAAAAAATAGGTCACCGGCAAAAGTATAAAAATCTTGTTAATACTTTTGTGGCTGCAGTTTTGATCCAAATATTTTGACTCAATTCTCATCAAACTTGGTCAGAATGCTTGTCTAGTTAATTGCTTGGAGTTCAAATATGGGTATCTCTGATTAAAAACTAGGTCACAGGAGCTAAAAATAGTGGCCACAGTAGTTATTCAAAAATATCCTGCCAATGGGTCTGCAAGTTTGTTTTGGTGATTTCTAGGTCAGTTTTTAATATGGGTCATCTGGGGTAAAAACCTAGGTCACACTGATAAAATATTGAAAAACCTTTAAAACACACTTAAGGTCACATTTTTGACTCAATTGTCATTAAACATGGTCAGGATGCGTGTCTAAGACATTGTTTGGATGTGGTAGATGGGCCAGGAGAGCGATCTAGGGCCATCTTGGCACTCTTTTTTATTTTTCGGGCGGTATAGTAATTCAATCTTCATTATGTCCATCTGTCCGCACGGGGTTAAGCTTAAACGGCAAGTTGGATTGATCTTATGTATCTTCTGTTCCAATTGCTTCATAATTTTCTCACTTACTTATCATTACAAAGTGCATGATCTTTAAAATAAGTTAAATAATTATGGTGTGGCAGCTGTAAGAAGTTGCCACATACTTCAGTTTTGTTATTTTTTTTCTGATCCTTTTGATCATTGATTCCAGCACTTTTAAGTGTTGGAAATTCAGTACCGCTCAAGCCGGTGCTATGGGGCACCTCATCATTATACCTCATGTACAGACTAAATCAAAACGAGTCTTCAATTTGCATGTAATTTTGTTGTGATTAGTGCTTACGAGGGATCTCTCCATGTTATTGCCCTGTTCAGCACTTTGAAAATGGATATATTTAACCTAAACCAGAAAGATCGTAGGTTCATTTTGTATTTGTGTCTTTATAATTTCCACATTTACTAATCAATGCAAAGTACACGATAATGCCAAGTTATATAACTGTGTTGTCCATTTTGTCAGTTATTTTCTATTTCGTCACTTTGACAATATGCCGGTTATGATTTACATGGACAAAGTGGATTTCTCCCTAGTCTGCAATTCTCTTGTAATTTTGTTGTGATTAATGCTTCCGAGGGATCACTTCGTTTCCAGATGTTTACCTTAAATTTCTCTTATTACTTTATTTACTTAATTATTTTAGGCGGATACCTTGAATGGTCCTCTTACTTTCTACAGAGTAAGGGGTCACTAGTGTCAAGATAACTGATGTAATTATTTAACATCTTTGCTCATACAGCCTTTACTTGATAAATTTATGTATTTCATGTTTAAATTGACATGCCTAGGGAGTATTTCTTCCTTCGGGTTTTATTAGGGAACTTTTGGGTCAAGGTCAAGATCACCAAAGCCAAAAAATGTTTTACACTGTTACAAGTATATCCTTTATCTACTAAAAATATCTTATATTTGATAGGAACATAATTTGAGAAGTATTCTATTTTTATGGAGTAAGGGGGTCAGTTGGGCCAAGGTTAAGGTTTTGTTCCTTTGGATTGAATGGGTCAAGGTCAGGTTTGAATTCGGTCATGTTCAATGTTTTTTGCGGAGAAATGCCCCTTTAACTTTGTAAATTAAAGACGAATTTTCAGCTTCCGTTCATTATCTCCCCAACAGTTGTACACATTCAACTCATATTTAATATGTGGATATGTCATAGGAATACGCAGGTAAAGTTTGATATAAATTATGGTTCGATGATTTTTTTACAGAGCTATCCCTCTTGAACTTTGGAAAAACAATAGAAATTTTTAATTTCTGTTCATTCCAAAAGAAAGAGAAAGAAATTTTCAGTTTCCATTCTCCCCAACAGCTGTGCCTATTCAACTAAAATTTGATATATGGATACGTCATCAATTTACGCAGGTCAAGTTTGAAATTGGCTATGGTTCGATTACTTTTTTGTAGAGTTTTGCCCCTTTTCAATGAAAAAAAAGAAAATTTTGAGTTTCTGTTCATTATCTCCCCAACAGTTGTATATATTCACCTCAAATTGAATGGATCCATAAAAGAATTAAGCAAGAAAAGTTTTGATTTGGTGATGGTTCTATGATTTCTGGCAGAGAAATGCCCCTTTGACTTTGGAAAAAATAAATTTTCAGTTCCCGTTCATTATCTCCCAAGCCGTTGTACACATTCAACTCAAATAAAATGTATGCATATGTCATAGGAATAAGCAGGTCACGTTGGAATTTGGTCTTGGTTCGATATTTTGGATAAAGTTATCCCACTTGAACGTTGAAAAAAAAATGAAATTTTTAGTTTCCGCACTCTTTTGTGGAAATGTATGAATAAGGTTAAAATCGCATGTGAAGGTATTTAACCAAAAATACAAGTCGAGTTCGAATTCGGTTTAGGTCCGATATTTTTTTTTAAAGTCTCATCCTTCTTGAACTAAGACAAAAAGAAATTATCAGTGTCTGCTCTAACTTTTGTCGGAATGTATGTTCTGTGTTGATATTGCATGTGCTGGTATTTTACAAAAACATTCGGCTCAAATTCTAATTTCGTCAGGTTCATGTGTCTTTTGACAGTTTTCCCATGGAAAAGGTTTTAAAAATCACAGTTTCTAATCATTATCTTGACTAAAATTTGCCATATACAATTTGTAAAAGTTTAACACTGAATAGTTTCAGAGCCTTAAACTTTGTATAAAAATGGTTTTTAATATTGACATTTTCAAGGTCTTTGAAAGCAATGGTTTGTGCAAACAAATTCGGAATTAAATATTATTATAATGATATTTGAAATTTAGGCTGCATGTGGGGGCATTCGTGGCGTTATAACACATTTCTAGTTTTCATTTTATTATTCAGAATAAGACACCTTAATTAACTTACATTGAAAGTCCTGAAGTGCAAGGTCAGTATGTGCGCCAAGTCTCGAGCCTGAAGGACAGACTAATAGAAGTGGTAGAGCTGCCTGTAAAGCTTTTTTCTTTACTATTTGAGATTCAACGGAAACCCTTTTTTTCAATTCCTTTGCAAGAGATTCGCCAAACAACTTTATTGAATCATTTAAAATCTGTTCTGGAATATATAGCTGAACTTCTCTTTTTGCCTCGTTTGAAAACCAGCCTGCAAAACAAAATTGCTTTTTAAAACCATTAAGTTAATAAAACGTTATATTAAAAAGTTGTCGTCGTGTATCTTCGTGCGATTTAGTCCAAACTCTAAAGGATTCATAATTAAGTTTTGCATTGGAAGCAATTGTTAAAAATATATATTTAATCTATGAAGGTCAATCGTTACCTTTGAGATTACATGATAATTATAACATAATTATTGTTCCCATCTCAGATCATATATATCAAAAATTACAAAGTATCTGATAAAGAAATCGCTCACCTGAGAAAAGTTCACAGTTTTTAATTTTCGTGGTTAATTTTCAAAGTCAGTATTGCGGTCATATTGGATTTTTTATTTTTTACAAAGTCTTTCATCTTTTTAAAATGTTTGTACATGGCTGCTACGAAATTCTTTAAGAAAAATATGTTAGCTCATGGTATTGTAAGTTCACACAAAGTGACTTATTTAAATGAGTTTTACTACGTAAGTATACATATAGAATGTTACACTCAAGGTATAGCTATTGTTATCCCAAAAGCTCGATTAATAAATCTTTTATACAGGTCCATTTGGCAATTCCACATGCCAAATAGCTCAGCTCTTGACTTTCCTGCTTTTTCATATGAACAAAAGTCACCCGCAGGGCGTGGCCAGTTTCGACTCCAGCTGCATGATTTAAATAATCCTTGTAGAGGGCCACAAGGTGATGCCTTTTTTTGCAAAATATCTAAGCTATGGGCATTGAGCTTTGAGGAAAGTGTGTGCACTTTGTGACCAGGTAAGTTAAAATGAATACAGATGAAATCATTATAAATACGAACGTTATTTTAGGTTTACCTGAGAAAATACCAGGTTTTTGCTGCCGATCATCTTTTTCAATCAAATCTCTCACATGCTAAAGTAAAAATGACAAACATGTGATAACCGAATAAATGATCTGCTTACTATTGTAAATGATATCTGTTGAGAATGTTGACATATATTTCATACATTTCTTTTTTTACTTTTTCGTTTGACGTTTAGTTATCAGAAATATAAATCGGTTAATTTGCTAAAAATGACAATGAAACAATTTTGAAAGAAAAACAAAATAAATATTATTTTCTATATTAATTTTCAGTTTATATGTTTACATCATATCATTTACATCGTAGTTAAGGTTCAAGTAATTTGACATAAAGCTATAACTGGCAGAGCATAAATGAAATTAAGTAAGCCGAACAATCACATTGTCTTTACATTCTTAGAGATTTAGCACAAAAGATATCTGTTATATACGTCACATGGGATAGATAAAATGTTTCCTAACAAACTAATCAAAGTGCTATACATGACCCATCTGCTTCATCTGAAATGTACTAACAATGTTTATTTTAAATCCCCTTCCTTAAAGTGGAGAGAGGATAATAGGAATGGCTTTTGTCTGTCAGTCCATCCGCTCGCCTAACCGTCCGTATGTTCGTCCATAACACTTCGTGTACGCTCCGCTGAAATGTTTGGAAATAACTTGGCACAAGTGATTACCATTATGTGACGATGTGCTAAGCGCAATTATTGTGTTGCTACCCTCAATGTCAAGGTCATACTTAAAAGGTCAAGTGTTAAGTCAATTCGAATGTTTTAAAATTACTTGGCACAAATGATCCCCAAAATGACACAATCTGCAGAGCACAATATCCAGGTTGCTTCCCCCAAGTAACATCCAGGTAGCTATCCCCAATGTCAAGTTTACATGTTCTCCATAACTTATTGACATTATAGAAGGTTCTAAATAACTTGTTATCATGACATTATTTGCAAATGGTAAACATGGCACAACATCAAGGCCATGGTTAGTTAAAGGTCAAGGGGTACACATTCATATCATCTGCTGCGGAAGAGGATTTAGCTGTCCTTCAGGCTGTCTTGTGAATTTATGTTGAACCATTGATTGATCTTTATCAAATAAAGAACAAAATTAATATTTACCAATATTGTAAAAGCTTTATGTTGTATAAGTAGTGTGTTCATGAAATAATCATATTTACCAATATGCGGATTAAACTCTGGAGTCGAATGATATATGAAATCTTAGTTAAGTTTTCACATTTTAATGCCACATGAAAATCTTTAAATCATTCTTCACTGAACCTGAAATTAACTCACTTGAATTTTTTCAATCACATCCTTTTTTGTATCATCATTTTTCTTTCCATTTTTGTCAACAAAACTCTGAAAAGGAAACAATGTTGATTCATGTTTGAAATCAAATCTAATGTTTCACACGGCATGGATACATACATACTATTATAACATATAAATGCACCTTATGTACCAACACAAATGTTACAAAACAGTAAACTTAGAAGTCAAATATTATGATCTAAGACTATAGTAGAGATTTCCAGCAATGAGGGACATCAAATGAGAACATATTTTTCCGCTTAATACAACCAACTAAAGACAATGAACATGAAAGCTAGTCATAAATTTACTTGGTGGCAATCTAAAGTAACCTGTGACATCAGAAATGACATTGATTTGAATGGCAATACACAGAGACTGATACCAATTGATATTTTCAAGCTCTTATTTTTAAACCATGTGAAAAACGAAACTGATTTCGGAGGTATAGACTTGCACATACGTCTTAAACTAAAATCTCTAGAAGCAAACATGGTAACATGCGTATTACTCCATTATATATGAACAAGCTAGATTTGTTTCTGTCATTTAATGCATTTTCTTTTGTAATTTCGAAGGCATAGACTTGCACATACGTCTTAAACTGAAATTACGTCCACAACATTCGGATAAAAGATAGTTTATGATTTTGAGGGAAGCTGAATTATTTATGATCAGGTGAGAAGTAGTTTTGACAATTTTTCTGTACTAAATTCATAATAATTCTGCCAATACTTTATGGCATTTTACTGCGAATTCTGCAATATTACATCTAAAGTGGAATCTTCAAAAATCCTACCATGTTCGATTTTCCGTGATAAACGGGAAGATAATTATTCCCAGAGTAACGGGTCCTTGTTTGAAAAAAGGGTCAAGGTCGCACTTGCTCATTCAAGGTCAACATTGCCTGTTTGATGGTATATGTCGTGTCCGGTTCATGTCTTTCTTATCTTTAAAGGGATTTTGTAAACATTTGCCACAGTTGTTCACAATAATGATACAATGTGTCATGCGTAATAACCGTCACCTACCTCCAAGGTCAAGGTCACACTTAGAGGTCAAATATTAGCATAGTCTGTTATATAGATTATTATGTGTCCGGTCCGTAACTTTTTCATAGATCAAAGTATTTTGTAAATACTTGCCACAAATAGTCAATATAATAAGACCATGTGTCCTGTGCAACACCTGCATTTTACTTCCAAGTTAAAGGTCACACTTAGAGGTCAGAAATTAACGTAGTCTGTTTTAGGGTATACTTTGTGTCCGATCTAGAACTTCTTCTGGATTTTGAAATAACTTGGCACAAATTGTCACAATAATAAGAGGATATGTCAAGTACAACACCTTCACCCCTACCTCTAAGGTCAATGTCACACTGAGAGGTCGTCAAACATTAATAAAATCTGTTATATATTATATTTTTGTCCCACACATGACTTCTTCATAGATCATTGGATTTTGAATATACTTAGCACAAAAAGTCACAATGATAAGATGATATGTCATGAGTAACACCTGTGTCCCTACCTCCAAGGTCAAGGTCACACTTAGAGGTCAAAGATTAATATAGTCTGTTATAGGGTATATTTTGTGGCCAGTCCATACTTTTTTCTTAGATCAAGGGATTTAAAAAATACTTTGCACAAATAATCACAATAAAAAGACGCTGTGTCAGGCGCAAAACATGGGTTTCATCTCCAAGGTCACACTTAGAGGTCAAAGATTAACAAAGTCTGTAATAGGATATATTTTTTGTCCGATCTAAAACTTCTTTATAGTTCAAGGGATTTTAAAAATACTTGGCACAAATAGTTACAATAATATGACGATATGTCATGCATAACACTTTCACACCTACCTCCAAGGTCAAGGTCACACTTAGAGGTCAAAGCTTAGCATGATAGAATTTTAAATTCCATGTTTCATTTTATTTCTTTAATACATTTAAAGACTGAAAGTCCTAAGATCAATGACTCAATCTTTTGAAATAGCACAATTTTCTGCTTCATATAAAACTTCCCCGAGGCAGTGTACGTTGGTAACCATGTTACAAATTCTTGTTAATGGAGATTCATTGCTTGTCATTACTTTCCATATTTCAATATGTGTTTACTCTAACACTCATACGTTCCTGAGAAACTGTTTATGAGCATAAAGAGTTGGTTCTTATTTGTAGTTCAGTTTACAAAGTACAAGATTTTCACCTATCCAATTCTAAAATCATTAAGTAAATTATATATTCATCATCCAAGGTCATCACCTATGGGCCAATATTGTAATATCATGATCGAGTCCCCGTAACATTATGCTTCTGTTTCTCACTCATTTGATCTCGTGCACTCACAAAAACAACAAATTCTGCATTCCGGTATATATTACAATGATGATAATATATATATGTTTATTTCACGCGCAGTATGTAAGGTCTTAATACATAATGCAAAATACTAACTTTGTTTTCTTTAACATCCTTGAAATTATTATACATTGTTGAATACAATACAGAATTATATTGTATGAGTACGCAGGAGTAAAACGAGACACTAGCCACTTCGATATTGATAAAAAGTTATACACTTTTGATGCTTTACTTACCTTTATGAAATGAGACACTTATATAAGCTTTTCAAAAATTGCTCAATCTTTTCTCAAGAAAGTCATTTAATTTATACTTTATTCCCTTTATATCATGAACCCAGTTTCTAAATGCTTCTAACAAAATATAACATATGTCTTTTTCCGAATTGTTATAATTTCCATTTTTAGTATGTAATATTACAATTACAAGGGATTCCAATCATACAAAACATAATCCTGTTCCCTGTTAAGTATTTAAGGGGTATTGTGAAGTTCTGTCAATTTTTGTGATTATATCTTATTGTAAAGATACCATAAATTTTTCTTTAAAATGTCCGTTTTTTTACATAATGAAGATAAAAACAATGAGACAGGCCATCCTTTCTTTTAAAATGCAGTTTTGAATTGGAGTTATTACAGTATATAACAGGAAGTTTGGGGATGTTTTTGTTCGGTCACACAAATACTAGATTCTACAAAATTAAATGTTTACTTACACAATTACATGTTAAATGACATGTGATTTTGATTGTCTCAAAACTTCTGTGAACTTCTGTTAAATATACACAAACAAAGCTTAATGCATTTGATGACTTAAATGCAATGTAAAGTACCTGTTCTTCAATTATATGCTGTACTTGACGAAGTATTGAAGAAGCGCTTTGTGTCTGAAACGAAATAATGTCAGAATAACAGTATTGTCACATTTGTAAACACAAAATTAAGCCATTCTATTTTTCCTCATGTTTTTATTGTTGTTTTGTTTATATCACGAGACAGTAACAACAGATAAGGCCTTTTTCACTACTTAACTATAATGCAACGAGCACCTGTTAATTCTCTATCCCGTTCTTGCGACAAACGTGTCTATATAGGTCAATCCAACAAACCCTATCACACACACAAAACGGCGATATTGGACTTTTGCGCTTCAAAATGAAAACAACATTTTTCTCTTTCGGCGCATGCTGTTGAAAGAAATTTTGGTCTTAACATTGTGAATGCGTCTGTGTTTTTTTCAACAGACGTATTGTGTACCACTGTGATAAACAGTGTTTAGTAAGCGTTTTGAGCTTACAAAAAGTTGTCCCTTCTATATGGGACTTTCACGGTTTAGAAAACATATGGATAATACGATAAGAGCCGTATATACAAAACGAAAAACGCGAATTGCGTTATTTAGGCTTATCCAGTTTCGTGTTAACCAATCAAATGCTCGACCTGTTTTGTTTGAACAAAGTTCCAGTTCATTCTAGCTTTCCTGACATCGCGAACACTTAAAAAACGTCTGGTAATGTCCAGGAATCGACTAGCAACAAATTGAATGTTTGTACTATACTTTTCTCTTTGTGCATTGTTTTTAAAATAAGATATCGGCAAAAAGGACACTTCTTAATATACTCGAAGCAATCTTTACACACTAAATCATGGCAAATCACTGATTGATAAAATAAAACTCCTTAAACATACTCCACACTCTTCTAACCAAAATTCTTGAAACATAATTTCTAATTTTCAATTAAAGATTTTTTTAATGAACAAGTCAGTGCCTTGATATCTTTTAAAATAAATATGGCAGTTTTGTAGAAAATTCTATCAAGGCTAATTTCTTAAAACGTTTTAAATGCAAATTTGATAAAGAATCAATCTTATCCTTGCCAAGGTCAACCATCCTATATTCACTGATACGATTTCGAACTCGTAACCAACATCTTCCAATAGAAACCGAAAACTAAACAAGAATCCAATTAAATGAAATACTATGTACGTCATGTCATAAATTAGTCGACGGATTTCATTTCTTATTTGAATGCTAAATTGAGCGCAAGCGATTCTTGAAACCTTATTATTATAGAAAACCAAATGTTATCAAAACATCTGAATTAATCAATACCAATAAGCAACAATACGTCTTAAATTAGGTAAATTTGTTAAGTGTACCAAAGTAGAGTTTAAGCCATTGACCAATATGTAATTTTTAAAATAGAAATTTGTTTTTTCCGAATATAAGAAGTGTTGCTAAGTCTCTGTTTCGTTTTAGGAGACCTAGTGGCACATACTTATAGTATCCCGCATTTTAATCAGATCACACATTTTTATTTTATTTGTTTAAAGGAAATGTCAGAAGACGCTGGTTAGGTCTAAAACAATACTTATCATCTCCACTTTTCGTATCTTAAAATTTGATGCCATTTTTCACTTTATAAAATGTGTCATTTCTATCCTCAGTATACAAAATAAAAGGAAATATTTTTCTTCATTTGCATATGTTAGAAATATTTTGTCATGTATTGTTCATTTCTGCCATGTATTTCTAATTTCTAAAAACATGTAGTAAAATAACATTTTGCATGTTTAACACTTTGATATAACTGCTTCCTGATTGTATGGGGAATTAAGTTTTACAACTACGAATACTTTAATGTATACAGCGCGAGCAAACAGTTTATACCGAACTTAACGATATTTAAATGCTAATTGTAGATACCGCTATTCGCTTATTCAATTTTATAAGATCGTGGGAACATTGACTTCCGCCACGTTTGCATAGGGCTCATCGTGAAGTCGTGGTTACTTCTGACTCCCGACCGCCACTGGGAAGTTGAGGGTCAGGAGTGCACCTGGCACGGCCTTGGGCGCGTGTCATCGCAGGAAGACCTTATTGAAGCTTCCATGCCCGAACTCGTGCTCTCGTTGAGTTCAGGTCAATGAAAGAATATGTGCAGACCACCACTTCCCTCCGATCAGAAAACTTTTCTATCAAATACATTATAAATTATATTCAATTCACAAAGAAAGAAAGAGTTTATTTATTATTACCCAACTTTAACTAAAGGGAAGTAAATACAACAACATCTGCTAAGTAAGCTATTTTTGTTATCTCCCTTTATCTGTCATTAGCACTTCATTACATTGAGAGTATTCAAGTATTTATGGAGTTTTTATTCTATTCCATATCTTTTTGTTGTTGTTAAACAGTAGACTTCTCCATATATACCTTGAAAATGATTCGCATGTTTATTGAAATAGTAAAATTATTTTGTTCAATCCTTTTTTCGCACCATGATATTGTTTAAAAATGTTGATATGACTATGACAGTAATCGTCAGTTTAATACTACGCGTTTTTTTTTTTTATTTTCCCTATTACGCTTTTTTTCTTTCTTTTTTAATCTTTAACACAAATCCTACCAATTTTAATCACATTTTCACTATGTCAATCCAGTGACAACTTTTACTTCAATCGAATCACATTGGTAAAAGTAAACACCATTCTTACAAAGTATAAAAAGAAATGAAACACTATTTTTGAATGTAAGATCAGCTTTCTCTGATAGTTCATATGTTTGAACAGCTTTGCCTCTCCAAGTACTTGATACTTGAAAGTACACAAATCTAACACTTAATATCAAATTATTTACCATTATAGTTTTGAATTTAAGTATACCCTTATCGTATGTTAATTAAGTAATAGAAAGCAAATCGAAACACGAGGCTGTCTGATTTGTGCGAGGCGTTAACCCCAAGTAAAAATCAGATTGCCGATGTTCTCTCTGTTTGTATCATAGGCAAAAAGAAAAACACATTCCCTGTTGTCCCAGAAAAAAGACCAATGAAGGAGCATCTGAATATGGTATTTCTATCGCTATCATAAGTAAACCTAAAGTCAATTGACATAAGTAAACCTAAAGTCAATTGACATGATCTGGAGTGCGGATAACTTCACTCCATTCAACGCACTGCACATGTATATATATAAGATAAATATTTTAACCAGACTAAGACTGTGATCTCACATTGTTATCAATTTTTCAAAAGTGAATACTGTTTTTAGCTCGACTATTCGAAGAATATGAGAGCTATTGTAGTCGCCCCGGCGTCGGCGTCGGTGTCGGCGTCAGCGTCCGCGTCGGCGTCTGCGTTGGTTAAAGTTTTTTGTAAAGTCAAATATCTCAATTATTGCATGAGATATTCAATTGAAACTTACAATACTTATTTATAGTAACAAGGTACATCAGATTGACAAGTTGGATAACTCTGCCTACAATATTGACAGAATTATGCCCCTTTTTAACTTAGAAATTTTGGTTAAAACTTTTTGTAAAGTCAAATATCTCAATTATTGCTTGAGATATTCATTTGAAACTTACAATACTTATTTATAGTAACAAGGTACATCAGATTAAATAGTTGGATAACTCTGCCTACAATATTGACAGAATTATGCCCCTTTTTAACTTAGAAATTTTGGTTAAAGTTTTTTGTAAAGTCAAATATCTCAATTATTGCATGAGATATTCAATTGAAACTTACAATACTTATTTATAGTAACAAGGTACATCAGATTGACAAGTTGGATAACTCTGCCTACAATATTGACAGAATTATGCCCCTTTTTAACTTAGAAATTTTGGTTAAAACTTTTTGTAAAGTCAAATATCTCAATTATTGCTTGAGATATTCATTTGAAACTTACAATACTTATTTATAGTAACAAGGTACATCAGATTGACAAGTTGGATAACTCTGCCTACAGTATTGACAGAATTATGCCCCTTTGGAAATTTTGGTTAAACTTTTTTTTGTAAAGTCAAATATCTCAATTATTGCTTGAGATATTCAATTGAAATTTAAAATACTTTTTTTATAGTAACAATGTACATCAGTTTGCAAAATTGCATAACTCTGCCTGCAATATTTGCAGAATTATTTGCCCCTTTGAAACTTAGAAATTTTGGTTAAAGGTCTTCAAAGATATTTACTTGAATCTTTGCACATGCACTTAGGGTCATAATTGTATGTCACTGACCAAGTTCCATAACTCTATCTTGCATTAAGGCTGATTCATATCCCCTTTTCTACTTAGTCTCTTGGTTAATGTTTACATGCAAGTTTTACATATCTCAATAACTATTAAAGATATTTATTTAAAACTTTACATATGCATTTAGGGTCATATATGTAGGTCACTGACAAAGATCCATAATTCTGTCTTGCATTTAGGCTGATTTTTCTCCCCTTTTTCAACTTAGAAATTCATGGTAAAGTTTTGCTTGTACGTAAGCTGTTATCTCAATAACTACTGAAGGGTTTGTGCCTTTTTTGGGACAATTTTATGCATTCATAATAATAAAGCAGTGATTTACTTTATAAAACATCTTAATAACAAGCCTTGGTACCTTTTCTGTCAAATTTATGTATTCATAGGTAATTTGTATTATTATACTCAATAAAACACCCTTTTGACAATACCTTCCGAAAAAGTCAAGCCAATACTGTATAATTAGACTCTCTCTAAGGCCTATAACATGAATTCATAAAAAAAATTTAGCCCTTATGTGAACTTAAAAAATTTAACATTATCAAGGCTCTTTTACTATCAAGCACTTAGAATAGTCGAGCATGCTGTCCTACTGACAGCTCTTGTATAGTTTATATAGTCCTAGATAAATTTAATTGGACAGTATAAAAAAAAAATTTATAATAAAACAGTCTTAGTAAATTTTATATTATTTGGCAGGATATGGTTTTAAAAATGTCATTAATTGACTTATATAAGTTTTAATGGCCATATTAATTACATATTGGACAAATATAATTATGTTGCTTCTGTATAAAACATCCATTGACTAAGCCAATGTGTTGTATGGATAAAACAGATCTTCACG